TCTGTTAAGACAAACGTTTTCTGTTGTATAGGTTTTGTTAGGCAACATAAATTAACATATTTTGGTCTCTTTATTGTCTTAATTGTATATTGATTTAGTAATTGCAGCACAATGCCAAGAAAGGAGGGTTAATCATATTGAAAAATCTTAAAAGCTGTTCACATTTTATTTTTAAGTGGTTTGTGCAGCAGGTATTAAAATAGCTATTATTTTGTAGGCTACCATAAGTCATATCCACGTGACAAGACTTCCAGTCATGTTGCCCTAATAGCCCATTATTTAAACTAATGTGGCATATTTGTTAAAGCTATTATTATTATTATTATCATTATTATCATTATTATTGTCATGATGGTTATTATTAATATATTGTAGCCAGTCACAGCAGGGAAGCTCTATACCATCAACATATAACAGGACAGGAGATGAGGAAGAGTTCAGGGAAGACACAGAGACAGAAAAAGACCAGGATGAGGGAGAACAGCAGGGTGAGGGAAAACAGGGAGATGAGCCAGATGAAAGTAGTACGCTTTAGTCTGTTCTGTTGGTGATGTGACTTTTTTCCATTGAAAACTCACGTTTAGAGAATGTTACAAATAAAAGTCAAATTTCATTCAACATGCGTTTATTTTTTTTTATAATTAAGTGTTACACGTGCGCTAAAAAGTGCCCCCCCCCCCCTCCTGAGCACCCCCCCCCCCCCCTCCTGAGCACCTGGCCCCCAAAATGTCTGTGCACGCCTCTGGTGAGCAGGTAGATCGCATCAGAGCATTGGGCCACACAGTGTGAGAAAATGCATCGTGAGCTGTGAACTTTTAAACCCTGTGGTTTCGTCGTAAAGTTTGAGCTGTAGCTGTGTGCAACGATTGAAAAAACTCGCACAGTGTACGCCCGGCTTTAGTGCCAAATCTAGCTACTTTTTTACATCTAAAAGCAGCGAACTCTGCTCTCCAGAGCAAGTAGATTGGTAACCCCGCCTCCTGCTCTCCTCTATCTTGTCTGCTGTCATGATTCATGCAGCTATTATTTCATCCAAATGAAAAATGGAGAACAGATAAGGAGATCATGGCTTGTCTACAGTGAAAAGAAGGACTGGGTTATTTACTTTGGCCTTTTTGGAAACACAGGAAGGAGCAATCAGCTAAGTTAGAATGGGCTTAGGGACTGTAAAATCTTTGATTCCTTTTGAGACAGCATGAAAAGTAAGCTAAGTGCATTTCCTATATGAAAAAAAAAAACAGAACAGAGGGACAAAAGGTAGAATAAATAATTTATGTCTATTCTATTAACAATTCTGTATTTGTATAATGGGTCTGTTTTATGTGTTGTCTTCTCAATTTAGAGGACCCCCTGCCTGTCTTTGCCCAGGGCCCCAAATTTCCTAAATCTGCCCCTAAGTGTGTTTTCCTTGTAAACCTGGAGGCCTGGATAGATGAGTGGCTTTTGGTTTTACTGCTTTGTCTTGTAAAGTTAAAACACTTTATAATCCCCACAATGACAGAATGGAGACAGGGCGGGTGATTTATAACTTTTTTATTTGTCCCTTTGTTAATCCAGGGCTGAGTGAAATGTTTTCAATTTTACACCAACTTCTGGAGCAACAACAGTAAGATGTTAAAGGAAACATAAACCTGGTCAGTGTTGACAAAAAGGACGAGCTGTTTTTAACAAGCAGTTATCACAGAGCCTGTGAGGCGCGACCCAAACTGAGGTTTAACCCCAAACCTTTCTTACACCCGGATCCACGCCCGCTCTGTCCTGGACGGGCTTTAAGATCCTGACGGTGGCTGAGAAGCTGACCGTGGTTCAGTGGGACTTTTCCCATCTTTGTGGAGCAGGAAAGCCGAGCATGACCAAGACTTCAACACATGACATACTGCAACAGAAAGGGGGCGCTGTGTCTCATTTCTACAACATTGTCAGAAGAAGTGCCAAGACAGAGGAGAAGAAACACAAGTTGGAAAACTGTGGCCTGGTGTGTAATGACCGCTGATCTCTATTCATTCTCTGGATTGCCCGAAAAAAGTGAAGCCACCGTCCGCCATATTGGTACTCCCCACTCCCACGGAGATGGGCAGTAAAAAGGCCTACCTCTGTAGGATTTGACTGCAAAAACAAAGAGTGTGCTGGATGTTGGAAGATATTTCACAGGTAATTAAGAGTCAGTTGATTAACTAATTAATTAAATCCATATATACGACATTAGAAAATAATAAGTAGGGTAAATAGAAAGTCATTCACTGTGAAATCTAAATGTAGTAATTCTTTGTTAAGTGGATGCAGTTTTCGTAGCATTTGTTGTATTTCTCATTTGAGAAAGCCATGTGCTGAAATATATTGCATGTTATATTGACGAAAAAAAAGCTACTCACATTTTTAAAGGCTAATGCACAGACACAGCATAAAAGTATATTGCATTAATCATGCACACTTTGCAAATAGTAAAATACTTTAGCATTAACAGACATGTACTTATAATTCAATCACGATGTAAAATTTTGAAATATGTAATACGTTATAACGACAATAATGTAATCAATACATGTATATTACATCTGTATAATTATGCTTAATTAAGACATTCAATTTGTTGTGATGGATTTTTATAATATGTTATAACAGGATTTATAGACTTCATAATAACTATGCAATATGATGTGCCTTTTTTTATTATAAGTTAAAGTTAATCTACTGATGTTATGAAACAGCATTTATCTTTATTTTAAAAGTCTTGATTTCCCTTGAAAATGAGATCATCATGGTTATTCGATGCTGTAGCGCACATATTGTTTACATCAAGACCGGTCTAACTAGGGAGTACCAATATGGCCGCCGGTGGCTTCAATTCAACCCTGTGCTACCAACGGACAATCAGCAATCCAGTGAATAAATAGAGATCAGTGGTAATGACACATAAGTGCTTCAAGAAACGTTTTTTTTTCTTTTTCGGGGTTAACATCTTAAATAATCAATCGAGGAGAAACGGATGAAATCCTTTAGAAAGCAGCTTCTGATTTTGCTGCTTTGTTACAAAAATATTGTTTTTTCTTCCAACATCTGAAGCAGTTTCCTCCACAGCCGTGATCCTTCAGTGATGAGTCGGGTCACGGAGAAAGGCAGCAGAAATGGTGGTGCTAAGCTAACGTCTGTTTTCACACCAGAAGGCACAGAGTCTGGACATTTGAGGAATAAAAAACAGTCTTTACACTGCATAAAAAACAAGGAAATACACATAAAAATGTACAAATGAGCTGTTCAGCTACAGAAAGTGCAGCTTTGAGCTGAAGGGAAAAGGACACTTAGACAGAAGCATGTCTGATGGCGTTCCTCCTTCAGCTGTAGGGAGGTTTTACTCTCAACCTTCGCAAGTGCAACATCTTCTGAGTGAACAGCCAAATAAAGTGAAATCTTTCTAAAGTGATAACAATAAAAACAATAAAAGTTAAAAACAAAACTCTGACACTATGGTAAAATACGATCACTAATATCCAAAAGGCAAAAAAAGAAGTTGTATTGCAACGATCTTCTGTGGCATCACTACAGAAAGCATCAATCTTCATCATTGATCAGCGTTTTCTAAACATCATCATCATCATCGTCTGAGGCGGGATGATTGACAGCCGCTCAGCTCAGGCAGGCACACGGACAAAACAAACGGACCCCACTGGGTCGGCCATTAGCAGACAGGGACTCCTTGGAAAGGAGCTCTGTGATTGGACAGAGGGCATCATGGGAACAGGAAGAGCTCATTGAGACATGAGGAGGAGGAGGAGGAAGGCCACTCTGTAGTGGGATCCTGGGGGACCAGCTGTCTGGGCCCAAACCAGACAGCTGGTCCCCCGGGATTTTTCCCTGGCTAAACCCCCCCCAGAATGTCTGTAGAAAATGAAAATGAATTGACGTCTACTCTTCCTCCTCCTCCTCCTCGTCTGTTTTCTGGGCCAGTGCAGCTTTTTTCTAAACCTTTATTCTGTGAATCATCTTATCATCCATGTTTTCATGGTTCCCAGCAGCCTTTTCTCTTTGCCTTTAATCCGAGCAGGTAAATCAGCAGGAGAATACTGTCCCTTTAAGAACATCATACACCTCTTAAACATGAATTATCTTTTTGATTCATCGTCTTATTTACCTGCCGAAAACGAGGAAAATGCATTTACAGTAGCAGCCATTCAAAATTTCTCCACTTTCCTTAAAGGTCCTTGGCTAGTACCTTCAATTCCTTTTTAAACTTCAATATTTGTACTAAAATTTTCTTTCTGTCATGATTTTCGGACATTAAGATCTAAAGAGAAGCGCCATCTCCTGGTCAGACTCTGTAATTCAGTGAAAGGGTGGAGTCAGAGTAAAGAAATATGCAAGAGGGGGGTCACTCCCGCGGCTTTTCAAACTGATTAATAGATCTATGATCCAGATGTTCTCCAGTAACTTCTTGGGGAACGCTTTGGATCATATTCTATCCTGATTACTTTGTTCCTCTTTAAGAGCTTTACTTTAAACCATCTAAATATGACTTTGGTTTCTTTGCTTTGGGGTTTCCTGTTTCATTCAGCTTTAAAAACAGGAGGCGGATTGATTCTGATCAGGATTTGTTGTCTTTGGACGCTTTGCTGAGATTAGCTTATGGTTTGTTTCTAGATGAAGAATCATCTTTGGCTTAACCCTTTATAGGACAAGTTACCGTGTTTGATCACTTACAAATGGAGTCCCTCAGTGAGGTCTAGAAGCACAAGATCTATATCCAGCCAATCAGCAAACATACTGCTGTATGGCTGCACATCTTATTTTGGCATTTGACCAATTAGATGAAGCCTTGAATGATAGATTACCTACTGGAAATTAAGTTGAAAAAAAAGTTAATAAGATAAAAAAATGGTACAAAGCTAAATAAAGAAACAGTTAATAAGCCTAGTTAACAATTTAGGTTTATAAACTAAAAAATGTAAGTGCCAGTCTCAGCATTAATGCTTCGTAGGTTATGTTGTACCAAAAAGTGTTTCTTTCACTCTCAAAGTATTTTTCATGAATTTCTTATAGAAACACTTTTGTTATTTTTCTTGATATAATCGTGCAAGTTGGCATTTCTTGTTATTCCATTGCCGTTAATTTTTGCCATCAAAATATCCATATTTTTTTTTTAATGTTACAAAGGTAATAAGGTCCTAAAATTTATATTTTCAAAGTATTTCACGGAGTGCCCTATAAAGGGTTAAAGGATGGATCCCAGCTTTTAAATGATGATGAAGAGTTAAGAACCTTCAGTAGGTTTCACCATCCACCAAAAAGTGTATTTTCTCCATCTGAACATAAAAGAAAGCCTTCTAAAAAGGTGTTTCTCCTGAACAACTTTTACTTTAGTGATTAAAGAACTGAAGCTTCTGAACCAGAGCTTCTAGAACCCAGCTGTTTCCAGATGTGTCCACATCTCTCTCTGACCTCCAGGAGGAACCAAAGTGGAGATGAAATACGGACTCTTCAGGACGCTAGCATACATCTGAACGATCCCGATCTGGTGTGATGTCAGAATTGCGTTTATCTCTTTAGTTTTGTATGAAAAATAGACTTTACACTACCTCAACTGGCGTGGATCCCTTTGGTCATGTACATAAAAAGCAACAATTTAAGGTGAAATCGCCATACGCTTCAAAAAAGTATGTAATTACATTGTTTTTTTTTGTACATGACATGATGTTGAGGTAGTTTAGTTTATTTTTAGTACAAAACTAAAGGGTACTGACTCTGGGTATACCGGTCTGACCGGTATACCCATATCTCATCTCCGGCTTCAGGTCAGATCATCGTCTTCTGCTTTTATTTTGACGGGACAGGCTGCTGTTAACACTCGTGTCCATTTTTAACACTCAGGTGTGTCTAGTTTCAACAGCCCATCTTGAGTTAAAAAAACAAAGACAAAGCAGAAACTAAAGCATATCAGGAAATACTTGTGGTCGGTTCTGCTAAACATCAGAACCTGGTTTAGGCAGAACACCACTGATTTAGAAACGTCATGAAACACTGAAGCAGGAGGAAAGCAGCTCTAAGGTCTCTGCTTGGCTGCCACTGGCCCACTCAGGATTGTTTGGCCCACTCAGGATTGTGGACTCGGTTCTGCTGCAGTAAAGTGCTCAGAGATGCCCACTGAAAGAGGAGAAGTTTGGGTTTCTAGCGGCGCTAGGTCTGCCCTGTGCACAGCCAACCATCGGACGATCAGGGACCTGCTGGGTAACAGGCTTTCTTCCTGAGTTACGCTCCACAACGAGGACAATTCGCCGTCTCTCTGCTAATGAACAAATAAAAGATAGAAAACACCTAATTCTACTCTACTTCTACGTTCCACATGATCTGGATTGGCTCAGACGCCCGTTAGACGCTGCAGAGTGATTCGGCTGGAGGAACGTGTGTGCTTCATCGACTGGTCGAGGTAGTAGCAGCTTTGGATTGCTAATGATTCGGCCGACAGGGATGAGAGACGGAGAGAGATCCAGAGTTTCTGATTGGACCCACAGGGTTGCTGACCTCTGATCGGCCCGCTGGACTCAGACGTTTGCATAAACTGGAGATTCTTTTTTTTCTATGGTGCAGAAACGTCGTCTGAGTCCTTTGGACCAAAGTCAGATCTTCCCATCGACTGATGTTTGCTGCTGTGCACAGAGCTGCTCCTAAAACGCCGCCGCTTCTCCTCTTTAACCCAAACAGAGAGCTCCTTCCCAATAAGAGTCCCTCTCTAATGACCCATCATTCTAAACAAAATAGTGCAATTCTTTTCAGCAAATATATAAATAACTCTTAACTTCGTGCTTTTCTGCTCTCGTTTTGCATACGTGTGTATATATACCCCATAAGTCATGAAGAAATGTGTTCGTCTCCATGTTGGCACCCTGGCGTGTTTCTCACGACTCTTTTTTTAAATAAATGAATGCATCAAGTTTTCAAAGAGATCCCTCCATTCTCAGCTGCAGATCGTTTTCCTCTGCAGATGACAGTTGGACTTTGTGCAAACGTCTTCAGAAGACATCAAATTGAAACCAGGATGCGTGAATCTCCTGCAGGAGTTGGTCTTTGTAAGGCGGAGCTTCAGGCCTGAGGACGTTTAGCACGGTGCTACACCTGCTGAGCTACGTTACAACCACATCGGCTAAATCTACACTGGGAATATGTGCTTTCACGCCCCGCTGGCGAGGCCAAGCTCGGAGCAGGAGCAAAACCGTTGTAGGAGCAGCAACAGAGGATTATCAAAAGGAAATGAAAAAATCCTGCAGAAGCAAAGACGATTGAAGCGTTTTGCAGGATTGGAAATTATCCGTTCTCCAGAAACAAACAGAACAGCTAAACACTGAGAACAAAGACGATGGAGGAAGGATGTGGAACGTGAGGAGGAGGCTTTCATCCACCTTCATCTTCTCCTTGTTCATCTGAAGTGCTCATCATACCTGAAGCAGGAGATGAGGGGAAGCTCGGAGGTTTCCAGATGTTCTCCCCAAAGAGAAACACAGGAGCAGTGAAGCTTCAGCGTTTACAGTCTGACCAAACATCAGCGTTGGCTGAGCTGATGGAGAAGGTCCAGTCACACCTGCTGAGGTTTGTGGGATTTTTCCTTGCTGTTCCTGTTCTCCACCCTCCCCTGCGGCCTGAGCAGGCCGTGGATGATGGAGGACGGCGCCCCCTGCAGCGGCGGCACGGCCCCACGGCTCTGGATGGAGTTCACCATCGCTGGGTGGAAAAAATGCCCGATAGCCTCACTGTAGGTCGGGGGAGTTCCTTCCACTCCAGGGTTCTGTTTCTGCTGCCGGGTCAAGGCCTCCTGGGCCTCCAGGACACTGATACCAGAATAAGCGCTCGGGGGAGGGGCCTGCAGCCTGGGAACAGAGGATGGAAAACTGAGAACCAGCAGATACAGAAGAAGAAACAAAGTCAGCAATAGAGCTCCAGACTATTAGAGGGAGACAAAGATTCGCCCATAAGGAACCAGAACATAAACGTCCGTGAGGCAGACACCCTGTCTACTTTTAAGGCTAGGCTAAAAACTTTCCTTTTTGATAAAGCTTCTAGTTAGAGTGGCTCAGGTTATCCTGAGCTATCTCTATAGTTCTGCTGCTATAGGCTTAGACTGCTGGAGGACATAGGGACCCCCATTTCATCATTCTATCTTTATTCTCTTCTTGCCTTTTGTCCCTATGCTTCTTTTTCTATCTCTGCTTCTGTCTCCTTGAACCGCAGTGGGCCTCGGCAGATGGCCGCTCACACTGAGCCTGGTTCTGCTGGAGGTTTCTCCCTGTTAAAAGTGAGTTTTTTCTCTCCACTGTCACTACAAGCATGCTTGGTGTGAGGGATTGTCTTTGAGTCAATGAGTCGATGCAATCAATTGGTTTAAGATAGAAAACTTTGAATCAATCTGATTGTATGATCTGGTGAATTGGAAAGTGCCTTGAGATGACATGAGTTGTGAATTGGCGCTTTGGAAATAAACTGAATTTAATTTAATTGAACACGTCATTATGGATGAATGTCTATGGAGTCTGAAGAACATGAAGGTGCGGTGAAATTGCACCCATTGGCCGGTAAAGATCCAGAGGTGGAGAACTAGACCCAGAAAGCTCTAATGGTGACACCCTCTCCTGGATAGGGATGGGGATCGTTAATATTTATTGATATCGATACCTTTATCGATACTCCTTATCGATCCGAGTCTTTATCGATACCACTATCGATACTTTTCTGTTATTTGGTGGAAAGATGATGCAACAAAATTTTTTTAACAGAACTGGTATTGCTTTTATTGCTTAACAAGTGAGCATAACAAAAACGTTTCCAGCCTTCAATAAACATGGCTAATGTAATAGGCCACTTCGAAATGACATAAAACTAACTAGAATATATTTTCACAATTGTTGGTTAATGTATTGTCTACTGTCACTTTTCATCATGTTTTTAGTGATTAGGAAAATATTTAACAAATAAATAATTGTATTTTAAATTAAATGTAATTTTTAATAAATGTTGGCATGAGTAGTTTAATTATATATTCTAAAATAATTAGAGCAATATACAACTGTAGTACTCATGTTTCTCGCCAAAAACTCAATTTCCCTTTTCTTTACGTTACACTTGAACGCATCATGATAACCTAATTGTCGTTTTACTGAGCCAATCTGAACACATCATTACGCAGCACGTCTCAAACTTTATTTACTTTTCAAGCTAACCAGCTTGTATGCTTCCGATTACAAGACAGATTTCACAATTAATATTTTTAACTGACCGGACAAGCTACAAAGTCTGTGTGCGCTTACCAGTGGTACTCTGAGTGGATGATTAAGACGGGCCCGGCTGTGGTGCGGCGGCAGCAGCAGGAGGAGGAGGAGTCTTTTCCGTTCAGTCATCCTCGAGTCGCGAGCAAAATTAAGTGCCAGACTTCACTTGTTTTACTTTTAATATCTGTTTGCTTACAATTTCATTCCAAAACATTGGTGGACATGCTGCAGTGATTGGATTGATTAGATTTAAATGCTGTGACGCGACTCGAGGGACACACAAGTATGTTACAGGACCTCCGGGAGAAAAAAAAAAACGACCAGACTCGATAGTGGTATCGATAAGCCCAAACGTTGTTGATTTTCGGGTTTTGAAAAAAGTGGAACCGGGTCCTTGATGGAACCGGGTTTCGATCCCTATCCCTACTCCTGGAGGAACCTCAGCTGGTCAGAAGGTAAAATAAATAAGACATCAACTGTCAGAACGGAGGATCTGTGTGTGATCAAAGCTGCTCTGATGAATCCATTCCTGCAGTTTAACCCTTTTATGAAAATGGATCGCAAACAGAATAAATCTGAAGTGGTTCAGATTACACATGACGCTGCTGTTACCTGGTCTGCAGGTGGGCATTGGATGGGTCCAGGGCGTGGGAATCGAACACGGTTCTGTTGGGTGGAGGTCGAACCGACTCGCGGTTTAGCTCCATCTGCTGCTCTGGGTCTCTTAGCTGCAGAGCACACAAACCCTGGTAAGGCGGCGGCTCCTCTCCGTCTGACAGGGATATGGTGGGGGGGAGGTCGATGAGGCTCTGGGGCAGGTAGGGATACGTGGGCTGGAAGCGGCTGGGCCCGTACGGCAGCTGGAAGCGCTGCGGCTCTCGCTGCAGGTAGGACATGACTCCTCTGTCTGCGGGAGGCGGGTTGAATACCTGCTGCTGAAAGACAGACGCTCAGTTAGAGCAGGCGGAGCCTTTAGAGGAGCTTCCTCCAAAAAGACCTCACCTCATTCAGACCACTGCTGCTCCCCGAGCCGTCGGCAGACCACAGGCCCTCCTGCAACAGAGACCTGCACGTTACACCCATCATCTACCAGCAGCAGGAAGACAGAAGGTAGCAACTAAATACAGGAGTTAAAACCGCGTCTGCAGTTTATAGAGAGAACCTCCCAATAATTCAATTCAATTCAGTTTATTTATATAGCGCCAAATTCACAACACACGTCATCTCAAGGCACTTTACAGTTCAACCAGATCAAATTGATACAAAGTTTTCTATCCAAGGAAAACCAGTTGATTGCACTGACTCATTGACTCAAATACAATCCCCCAATCCCCTAATCAATCAATCTTTCAAGCTTCAAGGGCGGGATAAAGAGAAAATGAAAGAAAAATAAATCAAAGTTTAATAGAACGAAATGCATAAAAACATTAAAGATGAACCGAACATTATATTAAACCAAAATTTAGAAGAATGATGTCATCAAAATTACTTCTTTCAGGTATGGATTTATTCATTTATGCAAAACAAATGCAACTGTTCCTTTATTCATTAACATTTTAATCCTATTTTAGAGGATTTCAAGTATATTATTTTATTAATTAATAAATAATAATAGTAATTATGATTTTTATCTCTTATTGTCGGTGTGCTCCCTGCTGCAAAATATTCCAGGATCATAAACAACTGAAGAAAAGGTCAAAGGTTAAAATGCAAACATGTTGAAAGCAGATGATTAAATGAAGGATTTGTTGCCATTGGCATGTTGAAAGTTTTAGCTTCTGAACTTTTTTCCCCCATTATTTTTAGGTTTTATCTGTTGAAACGTTTCTCCAATAGGGGGCACTGTTGAGGTTCAAACGGAGCTTCTTTCTCATTCTGCTCTTTTTAAACCGGTTTTTGAAACATCTTCATCCTCTTCCCTGTTTTTACTCAGGATCCCGCCTCTGTTTTTAATGGACTAATTAAACTAAGAAGCAGGAAGAGTTTTTTTGCAGGAGTCTCAGCTGCTCCTAAACTTGTCTTTCTTTCTTTTGGACCGTGTCTCTTTGCTTGTCTGCTGGGACGTGTCAGCGTCTCTGACTGCTAAACCAACACTGAGCTACTCCCTCTCTATCTCACTTCTGACTCAGGTAGCCTGGCGTCATGTGTTTCATGTGTTTGAGGAGGCCTCAGGTGGAAGTCACTCAGAATAAACTCTGCAGGACCATGATGACGAAGAAAAGAGTCAGGCTGCTAGCTCTTACCCTGCAGCGTCTGTCAGCATCCCTAACATGTTCCATTCATTCTATCTTTCTTTAGAATCCGTCTCTCATCATTAATCCACACGTTTACAACAGGAAGTTACAGCAATTTTACAGAAGGATACCATTTTATACTATCTTTGCTTTAGATAATAGAGCAGAAACTGAAACCTGGATGTAGCCGATACACTTCTAGAACCAGAGACGGGCGGCCGCTGGTACAGATGTCCATCAGGGAAGATTCCCACAGACTAAAAGTTGCCTTTTGTATCTCTACTTCTTTCTGTTTGTCGGCCAGTCGGCCTCAGCAGATGGCCGCTCACACTGAGCCTGGTTCTGCTGGAGGTTTCTTCCTGTTAAAGGGGAGTTTTTCCTCTCCACTGTCACTACAAGCATGCCCAGTGTGAGGGATTGTATTTGAGGTGATGAAATCAACTGGTTTTCCTTAGATAGAAAACTTTGATTCAATTGACTGTATAATCTCTTGAACTTGCCTTGATATGACGTGTGTTTTGAATTCCATAGAAATAAACTGAATTGAATTAAAAGTCCTGTTAGTGAAATCCTACAGGTGAAGGTTTGGGTGGATGAGACAGGTAGAGGTTTGGACTTACGCTGGCCAGTGGCAGGTGCCTCCTGCGGGTAGGGGAGTGTCTGGACAGCAGGGAGCGTGCTGACAGGCGGTAGTGGTTAAGAAGACAGGTGATGACCACCACCATGACCATCATGAACACCACGATCACCAAGATCTGGATGAACTCCAGCTGGGCTGCAACGGCACAAACACAGAGGTCAAGTCAGTCAACCGTTTCTAGATGCTTCTACAACATGGCTCAGACCTTGTCCAGTTACTCTGGTTTGCATTGTTCTAGTTTACTCCATTAGAGGATTTACAGCATAAAATATTTTTGTAAATTCTTCCTGAAGTTGAGGCGTGGGAGGAAGCATCATGTTGGCCCCAATGAACAGAAACCCAACAGATCTACATCGCTTCCTATTTCCTTTAAAGTTTTGTTCAGATAGTAAAACTGAAACTGGTTAATATCTTTATATTGTATTTCTACGTTCTAAAAACAGGAAAACCAGGAACAAATTTTTTGAATGAATGAAGAGAATTAAAGGACAAGCTCTCATGAAAAGCAAAACAATAAACACATTAATGATCAACCAAAAACATGTCCTCTTTTCACACAGGAAAACGATTTTAATGTTTATGTTTTAGGGTTTAAATTCCTAAAAGTGAAGGAGAGACAGCAGAGACAGTCTGCTTAAACCCTACTGCAGAACACACACACACACACACACACACACACACACACACACACACACACACACACACACACACACACACACACACACACACACACACACACACACACACACACACACACACACACACACCCATGTTGTGTCACAATATCCTTGTGGGGACCTTCCATTGACTTCCATTCATTTCCCACTAATTTATATGGCCTAACCGTGACCCTTGCCCTAACCCTAACCATTACCGACACATACCTATCCCTAAACCTAACCTAAACTCAATTCACACCTTAGTCCTAAACCTAACCCCCACCCCAAGAAGAGAAACTTTCCTTATGGGGACCAGTTGTTGGTCCCCACAAGTACCTATGAGTCCCCAAAATGTAGCATATTCCTAGGAAATTGTCCCCACCAGGTATTAAAGACATGGCCACACCCACACCCACGCACACACAAAAACACACACACATTGGTTGACTCAGGTTCAGGATGAAGGTGAGGAATGGACAGTAACTGTGAAAATGAATGGAAGTCAATGGTTTGGTGTTTGTATTGAAAAGATGCAGACAGGATGATGCTGAGCTCTGGAATAAGCTAAACATCTGGACCATCTACACATATGGACCGTCTACACATCTAGACCGTCTAAACATCTGGACCATCTACACATATGGACCGTCTACACATCTAGACCGTCTAAACATCTGGACCATCTACACATATGGACCGTCTACACATCTAGACCGTCTAAACATCTGGACCATCTACACATATGGACCGTCTACACATCTAGACCGTCTAAACATCTGGACCATCTACACATATGGACCGTCTACACATCTAGACCGTCTAAACATCTGGACCATCTACACATATGGACCAGCTAAACATCTGGACCAGCTAAACATCTGGACCGTCTAAACATCTGGACCAGCTAAACATCTGGACCAGCTAAACATCTGGACCGTCTAAACATCTGGACCAGCTAAACATCTGGACCAGCTAAACATCTGGACCGTCTAAACATCTGGACCGTCTAAACATCTGGACCAGCTAAACATCTGGACCAGCTAAACATCTGGACTGTCTAAACATCTGGACCAGCTAAACATCTGGACCGTCTAAACATTTGGACCGTCTAAACATCTGGACCAGCTAAACATCTGGACCAGCTAAACATCTGGACCATCTAAACATCTGGACCGTCTAAACATCTGGACCAGCTAAACAATAGGACCACCACATATCTTCTCCACTGAAAAAAAGGAAACGCTTTTGTCATTTACTTTATCATATTTAGTTACTTTAACACAAGTGTTTTATGTCCTACCCTGCTAACAGGAAACAATTGTGTTAAAATAACTAAATATGATTGAGTAAATGCCATTTTTGGCAAACGTAGCATTATTATTTTTAGTGTAGTCAAAAAATAAATAAAATCAGTCTCCTTAATGAATGGAGGCGGTTCCTTGGAGCAACTGAAAAATTGACCCTGAGAGAGGAACCCAACATACCCACTTAATAAATGAGGGTAACTTTTGTGATTAGGGGTGAAACTGTCAATCTACCTGCCATGTTAGTGGGTAGCCAATCAATAAGCAGTTGTTGACCAATCACAGAGCCAACTGTTCTGCTACGCAAGCCTCCTGACTTGGGTTCTTTGAAAGAAAATGTGGGAACGTGTAGCTGGACTGAAGTGGTGAGGCCAGGTTGGCGACTGGCTGAAGCAACTCGACAGGAGAAACCTGTCAGGATTGCTGTGTTCATGTTTGGCTCAAAGAAAGAGAGATCAGACCTTATGGAAAACCCAAGAAACAGAGGAAGCAGAGATGTTTCTTCCTCCCACCATTTTGATATCAATATAATGTAAAAATCAAAAAAAAAAAAAAAGAGTATTGAACCAGAATGCAAACAGTGACAACGAATCAGTTCTACAGCCAATCAGATTGCCAGCTGGGTTTTAACTAAGGAAATGAGACCATCAACCGATTTAAAAATCCATCTGATTTTATTATCCAGCTGATTATCATAGTCCATTTCCCACTGTGGCCAATAACATTCACCTCAGGCCCTGGTTAAAAGTCCTGATTGTTTTCTGCACGGTGTACGATCTTGGCCTTATTTAAACCTTGCAGACATTTTTTTATAGTTCTTCTTTAATCCTGATAGAGAGAGCTATCTAGTAGCTTCAGGACCCTTTTTCAAACTCTGCCCTCCGGCCAACTGTCCTGCACCTTTTAGACATGTCTCTGCTGCAGCTCACCAGCATAAAATGCCTCTTGTTCACCTATTTAGTGAAGTCAGGGAACAGGGATTGCACAGATAGACACTAGGTGGTGCTAGAGCACCTGCCCTTTTCACACTGAACCAAAAAGGGTCCTAATGATGGTTCACTAACCATCATTACACCCCCAAAAAAACAACTTTGAACGGTTTAAAATGTTAATTATTTTATAGACACTAATGTTTCATTATACTGTGTTCAGTTTTTACCAATTTTATGGTGAAACCAACCTGTAGATATATTATTAAAGATATTTATGCGACAGAATATGCATATTAACCTGAAACAGGCTACATATATGATGTTTAAGCCGTGCCCGTAATAAAAACTGCTAGGACAGTGAGCGCTATGCACCACACAAAGTGCCCCTCTTTTGGTTTTGCTTGAGCGCCTGCCCCCCAAAATATCTGTGCACGGCCTGAGAAAAGACCTGCAGAAGAACAGCCTCAGAAACTCCTGTTCATTTCAGCTGTTAAATAACAAAAGTCTAACAATACTACAAACCATGATATGTTTAAAGCAGTATGGCAACATTTAGATTAGGGCTGCAAATAACAATTACTCTGCTAATTGATTCATCTGCTGATTATTAATAATCAACCTAATTAAAGCAGGTGAAGCTAAAACTTATTGATAAACTTATTTTCCAATTTTTTTTGCTACTTGCTGCTCCTCTTTCAGTAGATGCTCCATTTAGCGATTTCACCATTTAAGTCCTGATTAACTCCATCAATTAAAAGAACGTTGAGCCGCTTTCTCAGACATTCAGTGTTGAATCCAGAATCTTTAGGAGCTGCTGTTCTAGCTGAGAGGGATCCCAGTTAGGTTCCAGTTCCTGATGGCAGACTCACCACAGCGCTGGACACACTTTTCATGGCTGTGACTCCTTAACGATGGCTGCATAATCTCCTCATGCATCCATCCACTGATCGGCAAAGCAAAAAAACCAAGGAAACTAAGAGAAAAGTTGCTGAAGCAAAGCTGCATGTTCTGCAAACGGAGCTCCGGGTCTCTGCTCCGCTCACTCCCAAACTTTTTCTCACACTAATGGAGGAAACAGCTGACTGGAGCCTTCCTGCACCCCCACCCAGGCCCTCTCAATAGATGAGAACAAAGGGGTCAATGCAACGTGGAGGGGGGAGTGTCTGCTAGAGATAGATGGGTCAGAGGGACAGAATAATGATGGGGGGGGGTTATTACACCGAAGCTGATTTTTTTTCTCTTGATTTTTGCTGTTCAGTTATTGATGAAATGATCATGTGATCAGGAGCAGCAGAGACTAACCCTTCATCCTTCCTCATTAAAGCTTTTTTTTTATTATTTAGTGACTGAATGAAGAAAATCTGAAGCAAAAAGCGATGAAAAGGGCAGCTTAACGAGGTAAAGGTGTGAGACGTTGGTTACGCTCCCACAGGAAGAGCCAGAAAGAACCACAGCATCCACAGACAGAAGGTGGAAAGTCCAGAGACGGGATGGAGCTGGAAAAACGACAAGAACGAACACAACGAACACACCGGGGGTGGGGAGTTTATCAGCTGCTGACAGAACGAGCTGTGTTCAGACAGTCTCTCTCTCTCTCTCTCACAGATGGAGACTTTGGCTCTGGTGTCTGTTTAGTGTCGCTCCGTTCCTCGTTGCCTCCAACCATAACAACATTCCTGCTATCAGGCAGCGTTGCCGTTGACAAATGAAGGTTTCAATCTCTTTATGCTTGTTGTCGTTCGCCCTCTTCTCCCCTCACTCACTGCTTCGCTTCTTCTTCGTTTCCCTTCCTTTTAATCCAATCAGTGTTGTTTTGTCGGCCAAATGAAGGAAACAGAGGAAAAACCAAGCGACTACAGCAGAGAGAGGAGAAGTGGACTGAAATAAACAAAAGACAAATGCAGCATAATGCCAAATCATGTTAAAATACAACGATCTGATATCAGAAATCTGAATTAGATCGTTTGGTTCCTTCCTCACCTTCCATTTTGGGTTTTGTTAAAAAGTATTTTAACTGAACGACTGTGAAAATGGGGAGGAAGAAAAAACATGAAATAAACTAAAATCATCAATGATATCATTTGGGATGTCATCACAGCCTGATTTCCTCCTCATACTTTTTAACGGGAAGAATATTTACATCAAAGTCGGATTAAAAGCTAAAGATATTAAGACAAAAAACATCCTCCAAGAAGTTTAAGGAGATTTAACCTTCTCCTTTATTTACACAATCCTGCCAA